GAGCTGTTCTTTACCTCACATATGTAGTAAAATGAAGTCTGCATGGATGAAATCCATAATAACTTAAAATGTAAAAAAACGTAGAAAAGGGCGCCTGGGTGGCTCAGTTGGTTAAGCGACTGCCTTCGGCTCAGGTCATGATCCTGGAGTCCCAGGATCGAGTCCCGCATCGGGCTCCCTGCTCGGCAGGGAGTCTGCTTCTCCCTCTGACCCTCCCCCCTCTCGTGTGCTTGCTCTCTCTCATTCTCTCTCTCTCAAATAAATAAATAAAATCTTTAAAAAAAAAAACGTAGAAAAATATTAATATTTATTTCATTATGTAATAAAGAAATAAGCAAAGGTCAAAATGCTGGGTTCAATAGGGGAATGATTTTATTTTTACTTCATAAAAATTATATACATGTTATGTACATATAATGTATAATTATATAGATGTAATTATATGATACATAATAATTATATTATCATGTATATAATTACATATGAAGATTCCAAGATACTAGTGGAATGTTCAAAGTGATAATATACAAACTATATAAAATAAATGTAATAGTATGTAAAACAACAATATCTATATTGGATTAAATATCTTACAATAAAGTCAGGACTAACTGAAATCTATAAAATTGAGGAAAGTTTAAAAGTAGACAAAAATATAACCAGGCACTTTGCAGAATAAGTGAAAATGCTCAATAAACATTTAATAACCTTTGATTTAGTTTTTACTAGAGAGAGTGAAAAGCAAACAGCAGTGACATGGTGATTTCACTCATCAAACTGAAAAATATAGATGTTTCTCAAAATAGAATGCTATTAAAGGTTTGTGGCTATGAATCTTCTCTGGACTATAGCTATAGACTTTTCAGAATTAGAGGGGTAGAGTATAAATGTATATTAATTTTTCTGCATTTTTAAAATATGTAAATATGTGTGGGAGTGCCTGGGTGGCTCAGTCGGTTAAGCATCTGAATCTTGATTTCAGCTCAGGTCATGATCTCGGCTCATGAAGTTGAGCTCCATGTTGGGCTCCACACTCAGTGCGGAGCCTGCTTGAGATGTGATTAAATTAAGGATCTTGAGATGAAGAGAATATCTTAGATTATCTATGTGGGACAAGTCTCAAAGAAAGTTAGTGTCAGAGTGAAGGGATATGAGAAAGACTTGAATAAAGATCATCTTTGTCAATGAGAGGACATTATGACACGAATATATAAATTCTTAACAATAGTAATTTATGAACTCAATGCAATACGAATAAAGGCCCACCAACATATGTGTATGTATGTGCGGGTGTTACACGTTTTGTATCCAAAAATGTTGAGTCCCCCATACTAGAGTTAAATGCATAGTAGTTACACCTAGATGAAATTGAGTTTGAGTATGTCATTGGGTTTCCCATTGCCTTCCTAGGCTCAGGGTGTGGCAGTTTCCAGGGGAATTCAGACCCACTGTAAGATGCCTACTGGTTGTCAGAAACCCATCATTTACCCCTATTCTGTTTAATAGATTTCCATCCACAAAAACAAGTGACCGTAGGCTCTGGCAGCAACTCAGAGGATTCTAAAGTTGTTCCTATGAGAAAAGAGGTTTCTGACTGTGGATACGATGGCTGCCTGCTTGCATTCCCCCTGTAGATGCTCTTGTAAAAATGGTTTCCTTTTCATTATGGAATACTTATGGGCACTGCATCCCATAGTACAGCGTTTCTCCAACATTGTCCAAAACCTTATCAGAATTTCATGTCTCAATACTATTTTGTGTCCTTCAGTCCCAGGGGCCATCTTAATTAACACCCAGTAGCAAGCTAGTAACTATCTCAGATGGTATATATCATACCCCAGCATCCAAAAATTTTCTGGTCCCAAATCTTAGTGATCACCACTAGGTGGCACTCAAAGGCTTTTGCCATTAATTCCAATTTGCATTGCTATACATTGCAACCATTCCCCAAATCATTTCTGAATGGATCACAGGGGTCCAAGGACAGACAGAGATTGAGAGACACTACTTTTTATAAACCAGAAATGACCTGTCATTATTAGGTCCTAATTCAAATATGGACTCCTTTGGGAATCAGTTTCATGGCTAGGAGTTAGCAATATTCCCAGATGTAGAATATGCATCTTCCCCAGTACAAATAGACCAAACAGTGGACTTCTTGTTTAGTTCTAGGGGTAGGTAAAGATATCAGTTTCTTTTTAGTCATCTGTGAATCATCATGGGTGGCTTCTGCCCAGAATATTCCTAACAATTTCACCATTTGGGCAAGTCCCTAGATCTTTTGGATTTAACGAGTCTCTTGGTGCCACTAATGCATTTAGGTCAGTTCTACCTAGCTTATTCTTCAGTTTCTGAAATTCTTATATCATCAGTATAGCGTATTATTACACTCAGGACCTATATTAAAGCCAAATCCCTTCTAACCAAATTGAGACAGCTAACTGGTGAATTCAAGTAATTGTGGCAATGGAGCAAACGTAAACTATGATCCTTCTTACATGAAACTAAACTGTAGTTAGCTCTTTTCTGAGATAAGGCTAAGAAAAGAAACATTTGCACAATCAGTGAGGACCAGTCTCCTTTAGCCTGCTGAAATTCTTGCCCTGTTGGAATCATGTGGGGGACTGCTGATGCTATGGGTGGCATTGCTTTATTTAAGCTTCAGTAGTCTGTTGTTCGTCTCCATGAGCCATCTACTTTTTTCATGGGTCATACAGGGCTCTTGTACAGAGAATTTGTTGGTACCAGCATGCCAGCTTCACACATGTCACCAGGATAGTCTGTGCTGCTTCATTCTTCACCCTGATTAATTTAGCAGACTATGGTCCCATGGTCCCTGGTGATTCAAGGTAAGGTCAGGTTTCTCATCATCATCTTTATTTTCTAGCTGGTGGGTTGAGTTTAATGAACTCTTCTTCCAAAGATAAAGTTCACAACGGTCCCAGCGTGGCTCGTGGCCACTTAGCCGCATCACCTTTCCACCCTTCTCCACCATGTTCAAGTTAGAAACAGAATGGATTTTACTAAACTCTGCACCAACAAATCCTACCACGCACATCTTTTTCCTCCTCCCATTAGAAGATGACCTGTAATGGCAGCTGCCCCTCAGTGCCACCACATTTCTTTCTGCGTGTTTGCTTCCTGTAGGGTTGTGTTTCCCACACATGTAGGGATAAAATTTAGCATTGTTAACCTTAAAAATAAAAACTGCTGGTTATTTTACAACAAAAGATGGGTTTATTTGAGAATAAAAGAGAATTGCAATCTGGGACAAACAAGCTACTGCAAAACCCTAAGCAAGAATGGGGAACAAAGGAGAGATTGTTTATTTGTTTGTTTTTAAGATATGCTTTTTAAGGAGAAAAGGGTTAAGTTGGAAAGGCCATAACAAACTAACAGCCCATTGGTGTCAACTGGGAGTTCAAAGTATGGCAGCTTTTCATTGGCTGAGCTGTTGCCCAGATTGGGGGGATTAGAGTAGTAGAGTGGTATCCAAGTGCAAGGTCAAGTCCGTCTTTTCCTATTGGGTCTGCAATTGATCAGGAGGGGTAGGGCATGAGAGCTCCCCCTGCCAAAAGTTCCTAACTCCATTTTAGTGAGGTTTCTCATTATTAATTTTCACAGCATCTAAACAAAGCACAGCTTTGGCTGTTGTCTAATGGATGAGATTTCTGCTAGCCAAATAGATGTTGTAACCTAGTCTTAAAGCCCACAGTATGTTCCTTCTCAAATTTCTGTCAGTTTGCTACAGTAGGCAGACCCTTTATCACCTCACTCTGTTTGGGGACCTCCGGGAAACACCTTACATTAACTTCATTAATTCCATCAATTGATGAGTTGGTTGGTAATGGAATAATTGACCACCCACCCCATCCCACAGGCAGCAAGTGTCTGTGAACATCCTGGGTGGGGGTACCAACTGCAGGTATTGGGACACAAGGATGGCCCAAAGTGGGAAGAGCCTGTCTGGCTTGTGTTTGTTTTCACGTTAGAAGAACTTCTGAGGGCTTGCTTCTCATATTCAGCTTTTATTCCCTGTCATGCCCCCTGACAAGCTCTACACATTTGAGGGTGACACCCACCTCTCCATTCTTTGTTGGCCAAAGTTGTCACTAGGACCCAGGCCAGGAGTATGTTTTCCACCCTCTCTTCACACCTGGAGGTGACAAAAAAGGAAGAGAAGGGGAGCAAAGGAGAGGAGAGAACACAGAAGGGGTGGAGGTGGGGAAAAGAAGAGGAGGGAAGGAGAGAAAACAGACTGGGTGGAGTGTGGCTGCAAAGGTGAGTGGCACATCAGCTAGTGTGCTCCGCTGGCCCAGTTTGCCCAGGACTTTCCCAGTTTTAGGACGAAAAGTCCTGTTTCTCAGGAACCTGGTCAGGCCAGGGAAAAGCAGGACAGCTGGTTGCCTGAGCTGCGGCAATTACAGGAGAGCCTGTGTGACCCAGCAGAATCTGGCAGAAGTAACAGTCTGTCATTTCTGAGGTTAGGTTATGAAAGATAATGGATTCCCCCTGAGATTCCCTTTCTTTCCTGAACCACTTGCCCTGGGGGAAGCCAGCTGCCCTGTTGTAAGCAGGTCCAAGGAGAGGCTTCGTCCCGACGGATCACCTGAGTGATCACATTCCAGTTTCCACCACTTGCAAGACACACATCTCCACCTGCTCGCACCAAAAGATTTTGAATTTAGCCATTTAGCCATTCTCAACTTGTTGAGAATACCTCCGCCTCTAATACAAGCGGCCCTCATAACTCTACTCTTTTACTTTAAATTTATAAACATTAACTTAGAACAGGCAGGAAGCAGCTCTCCTCCACAGCGATCAAAAGGCTGAGAAACAAGCACAGCCGGAAGCGACTAACAGACCCACAAGCTCGCCCCGCCCCCACGCGCGCTTCCTGCCCAGTCTCGACCATTCCTGGCGGCCCTGCCCAAGTCCCGCCCCCTGTAACCTCCTCTCCCGTCTGCGCGTGTGCAGTTGCCGGCAGACCCGGAAGTGAATTGAGCTGAGTGACAGGAACGTTCGGGTGACTGAATTTCGGATGGTCAGTTTCAAGCCCGCGCTTCGCGGCCCCACGGCCTCCAGCCGTCCACACTGGGGTCCTCTGGAGGTTACAGCGGCGGCCCTCGCCTTCCTGCCCACGATGAGTCCCGGCGTCGCCGTGAGACGTTCCGAGGCCTGGTAGCGCCGGGCCGCGGCGTCCGTGTCCGCTCCTAGCCCCTCGATTCGTGGAGACCGCCGCTTCGGGTGCCTCCCTGCCCTCCCATTCCTCCGTCCCGGATCCAGGAGGGTGGGGCCCTGTTGTGTGCGGCGTTTGCCGAGGGCCGGTGCAGCCGCAGAGCGCGTGGGCTTCACAGCCGGGCAGTGAGTTGCGAGGAAAAGGGGAGAATCCGCCTCGCTGGCCTGTCTCTGTGTTCACGGGCCCCTCCTGGGGCAGTGGGCGGCGGAGGAGTGTCTTTTTACGTGTTGAGGTCCTCGTGTTGTGTCCCAGGAAGGGGGATGTTCATTCTAGGCATTAAACAGCCTGTGTTCAGCACTCACCGTTCACTTGCCAAGACTGATCTTATCCGAGAAATAAGTCCAGGAGAAGAGGAAAGGAAGAGGAGGCAAAAATGACGCGTTCCCAGGTAAAATTCCCATTCTTGGTTGTTTCTTCTCTCTTTCCTGAAATGCTGTTTTTTTTTGGACTTGGTGATGTACTCTCAAGCACTCAAGGGCCCTGCCTAACGTTTGCTAGAACTCACCCCGGCCTTGCCTCAGTGCCTCGCATCTCCACTTACATTCCATCTCACCATGACCCAGAGGCATGGAACCTGGGAAGAGGCCCTGTTGGGGGATTTTCATGGGGAGGGTTTCATACTCTGGTGTGAATCAGAAACTGGGGGTGGGACTTTGGTGTCAGTGAGGTTGGCAAAGGGGATTGTTTTAGGAGTTGCATGTGAATGCACTGTCAGTTCCTTGTAGAGCAGCATTAAGAAGAACTGCATTAAGAAAAACAGCATTAAGCGAAATAAGTCACGCAGAGAAAGACAAATATCATATGGTTTCACTCATATGTGGAATTTAAGAAATAAAACAGATGAACATATGGGAAGGGGAAAAACAAAGAGAGAAGGAAACAAACCATAAAAGACTCTTAATGATAGAAAACAAACTTAGGGGTGATGGAGGGAGGTAGGTGGGTGATGGGTATTTAGGAGGGCACTTGTCCCGTTGAGCACTGGGTGTTACATGTAAGCGGTGAATCACTAAGTTCTCCTGAAAACAATATTACACTACATGTAAACTAACTAGAACTTAAATACAAATTTGAAAAAAAAAGGAAAAAAAAAAAGAACTGCACAATAATGAGCCATATTAATGTGCAGGAACAGCTGGAAAATAAGACTGAGAAGGGAAAACCTATTGTCCCTGATTTTACAAGGCATTTGAAGCCAAACAAGTGAATCAGCATGTTTCTGTCTCTAAAATATTAATGATTTGGATTGCAGTGGGAAGTTCTGAAACATATCAATGATAAAGGATGTTTTATTGTATAATTTGTTTTAACAGTACATTCTTTAATATCACTCACAGCATATCCATCCCATGAAGACCCTTGTTCATTCAGGGACTTTTGTGTAGCAGGTGTTTTACCTAAAAATGTTTCAGCCATTACATTGGAGCAAAAAATTAGTCTTTGTCATCAGAGTGGATGGAACCAAATTCTGTTTCCACCAATTGTTACTAAAATATTACATTTTTTTAAAAAGATTTTATTTATTTATTTGACAGAGAGAGACACAGTGAGAGAGGGAACACAAGCAGG